AAATTAACAGCTAAAGTTATCACATTAACTATTATAAACAATTCGTTGAATTATATAAACGTCAGATTAACAAAGACAAGTATCACATAAAATTAGTCAAATATCAAATTAACAGCTAAAGTTATCACATTAACTATTATAAACAATTCGTTGAATTATATAAACGTCAGATTAACAAAGACAGGTATCACATAAAACTAGTCAAATATCAATTTAACCGATAAAGTTATCACATTGACTATTATAAACAATTTGTTGAATTATATAAACGTCAGAGCAACAAAGACAAGTATCACATAAAACTAGTCAAATATCAAATTAACCTATAAAGTTATCACATTGACTATTATAAACAATTTGTTGAATTATATAAACGTCAGATTAACAAAGACAAGTATCACATAAAACTAGTCAAATATCAAATTAACAGCTAAAGTTATCACATTAACTATTATAAACAATTCGTTGAATTATATAAACGTCAGATTAACAAAGACGGATTAACAGTTGTTTGATATACGTACACACGTCCAATACAGATGTAAAACAACATAAAAAGTCGTCCTCCATTTTCCAATTAATCCTTAACCTGAAGTTAGAAAATCTGACAAAAATACTAAACTTACGTACGCAAAGGACCGCATTATCTTTACCAAGTCGGTAATTTTTGTTGTTATTGCTGTTATAACGTTTTCATATTTTGTTTATCTTATAGGAAATCATTTATTTTTAATAATATAGTTTTCAAACCAAAATGGATACCTACATTGGTACCAAAAATGTGTATATTGTTTCAAAGAAAAATGTTTAAAACAAACAAGCATCACGGTCACGTTCAAGTACCTGTTTTGTGATTCGGTGCAGCCAGTTAAGCTAACTTCTAATCTAAACACTGAATTAACAATAAGCCCCTTTATTCCGTATGAGAAGATCAGCTTTCATCTGAAGTACACGATTCCCACAACTCGCACGAGGAATTCTGACACTACAAGAGAGAGAGAGTGCTATGTAAAAACTATTTATCACAAGGTCTCATGTGCGAATATTTTGCGACAAAATGTGACAGGAAAAACACGACCTTTGACTCACTGATGTCAGTGTTAAATGCAAATACTGGATGCTTTGCATACCAAGTTTTGATTAGATGCGTCCGTGTATCTTTACCAAAGCATTGCACTTAAACTTAACAGTTCACGCGAGAAATATTAAGTTTTTAACTAAAGGCGTTGAATTAAAACAGTGAGATCTGATTTAATATTAACATTTTAGACATGTATTATTCTTCATTTTTACTAAATTTTCAACTAAGTGCAATATTACTTCCCTCTTTCAAAATTGTGTTAAGACACGAACGGAAAGCAGCAACAGGTCAGGCTTCCCTCCGAACCAATGAGATGGTTTAGGTGCAGATGTCGTAGCTAAGCACTTAGCAACATAATGATCAAGAACGTAGATCCCAGCTTTACGTTTGGAAACCATAATTTACGACTGAAGTTAAAAAATTATTCGTTTGTGTTACATTTACTCTACATGTTCCTTCTTTATTTTACTATCTCTGTTCTCTAATAATTCAGTATTCAGGAGAATTAAGAAACGTCTAAAGAATAATGTTAATTACCCTAAGACAAAATTACAACCATATGCCTGAATATATATATATATATATACACACACATGGGTGAAATCATAAGACCGGCAGCTCTTACTTTAAACTATGTATTAAGACTGATAAAATATTTGTTTGCTGTTGATTTCAAAACAATAGTCCACTTTGAGTATTAAAATAACCCAACTATGTCATAAACATATACCCTCTTTTAGCTTTAACATAACTCGTATCAAGCAAGTCTTTCTTGTGCTTCAATATAATCCAATCAGCATTGAACTTTAACAAACCTAAAATAAGGCTTAACAAAATCAAGCTTCCCTGACGGTTTTACCTACTTTACTCAAGTTAGTTTAGTATTATCTAATACTTTTTTCGTGACCAACTGTATAGAAATAACATGCTTTCATCCATCTGTCTGTGGAATTTATGTCTACAAAGAAAACAAACCACTTTTTTTTAAAGAATGATCAGTTACTTATTCAATCAATAAGACAGATAATTGTAACTTATAATTGATGTCGATATACACAACATTTGATCAGTTACTTATCCAATCAATAAAACAGATAATTGCAATTGTAACTTATAACTGATGTCGATATACAGAACATTATAAGAATGGTCAGTTACTTATTCAATCAATAAGACAGATAATTCTAACTTGTAAATGATGTCGATATACACAACATTTTTACGCGGGAAATTTTTAACATGATCATGTCATGTTTGCTTTAACTTTAACCTAGTTTATCAAGTCATTCTCAGAAGAAAAGTATAGCGAATAGCAAGTAAAATTCACTTTTCTCAGCCTAAAAACGTTTACTTTGAAGTAAATAATTATAAATAAAGTAAGTAACTAATTATGAGCAATTAACCAACAGTTTAATATTTGTTGTTGTTGTTGTTTTCGTTATTGAATACTATCCACACTTCCAAAATGATATGTACAGGGTGGCGCAAAGTCACTAAAAGGTACTTCTGTAGGTTGGTATAGTTAGTATAGTGGGTATTATACGATTGGTACTAAAAAGATAATACAAAGACAAATGAGAACAAGTTAACTATTGTTTGTTTCAGAGTAAGAGTTAAAAATTAAACTGTGTTCTAAATGAAACAGCTGTAGAGTCACTTTTGCCCCACTCCCTATTTTTAAACCTGTGGGATTGTTTTAATGACATGTTTGTTATCCTTTTTTTTAGCTGAGCATTGTGGCTATCCAGGAAGTCCAGCTTACGGAAAACCTAAAAATGTTAAAAATACCTATGAGCCAGGAGAAACGGTCACTTTTAGTTGCAACAGCGGCTACTTTCTAATAGGAGCTAACACTAGACGTTGTTTGTCAGACGGCACGTGGTCTGGACAACTTCCAGTCTGTGGTAAGTTATGTTTGTCTAATTTAACGTAATGTTTCCCTTCTTAATGGAACTTTTATGTATTTAAATGAATTGTTTATAATAGTTAATGTGATAACTTTAGCTGTTAATTTGATATTTGACTAATTTTATGTGATACTTCTTGGATCAACAGTTGTTTAATACACTCTATATATTGTAAAATATAAAATGATGACATCGTGCTTGGATCAACAGTTGTTTAATACACTCTATATATTGTAAAATATAAAATGATGACATCGTGCTTCACGATGTCATCATTTTATATTTTACAATGTATAGAGTGTATTAAACAACTGTTGATCCAAGTACGATGTCATCATTTTATATTTTACAATATATAGAGTGTATTAAACAACTGTTGATCCAAGCACGATGTCATCATTTTATATTTTACAATGTATAGAGTGTATTAAACAACTGTTGATTCAAGTACGATGTCATCATTTTATATTTCACAATGTATAGAGTGTATTAAACAACTGTTGATCCAAGCACGATGTCATCATTTTATATTTTACAATGTATAGAGTGTATTAAACAACTGTTGATTCAAGTACGATGTCATCATTTTATATTTTACAATATATAGAGTGTATTAAACAACTGTTGATCCAAGCACGATGTCATCATTTTATATTTTA